TTTGAGCCTCAGATACATGCAGGTTTTACCGTGGCTGTAAAGTCACTAGATCTGCATCCACGCAAAAACTGTATAAAGCACCAAAACAATGCTTTTTTGATACCAGACTTTCTGCAAAAGCTTTGTTAGAGAAGCCAAAGGACCAAACACAGGCAGCCATATGTGAGGTTTTCTTTAAAAACACTCTGAAATCAGCAAAGTTTTGACTTTAAATCAAGATATTTCTAAGGAAGACAAATCTGAATGAAATGCAATGTCAGCTCTCAGTACAGTTTTTGATTCTCGACAAGCACATTCCAGTCTGCACCATAAAATTTTACACTGAGGTTCACCATCGAACTCAGTGTTTATAAGGGCTGGGACCAGGACTGCAATTAACTTATTGATTTATCTGTGGATTCTTTTTTGTTTTGATTATCAGTCTATAAAAGAGGCAGAAAATTTACACTATTACAATTGCCTGAGGAGACGTCTTCAAATGTCAACAGTCCAAATTCCACAGACATTCAGTTTACACTGATATAAACAGAGAAAAACATCGAGGCCCCACAGTTTAGAGGGAACCACAAATTATCTAACATCTTTAAAGGCACAATTCACCCCCAAATCTACAATTCATAAACAATTCATAAACAATTCATAAACAAAGCACAACAGTGCTACATATCAGACTAGATTGATAATCTAGATTCGGTAGAAAGAAAATAGTTCCTACATAAAACTGCTCACAACAAGGTCTGTGGATTACCCTGAGTTATCGGGTCATGATTTCTAGGAAAGAGACATTGGGCCTCATTCACTAATATGTGCGTGGAAATGTTCTTACTTTGTGCACAAAATAAGTGCGTACACAAAATCACCGTGGGATTTTGTTCTCACCACCTTGCGTATGTGTGTGAATCAGAATCATTCTAAATTGACAGGCGTGTGCTCGCAATTTGTGATTAGCATACTACCACGCCCCCATTTCTCCATATAAGGAAACCGCTTGCCTAGAGTTGATTCATGAATGAAGGAAGCAGTTATGCGAGGAGAGGAATGCCAATGCTTACAGGAATGCCATGAGTCATTGCAAGATTGTGGAAGACACAGCATGCCAGGATGATCTTGCACACCTTCTCAGGGGTATAAAGTAGTTTGCCACCGGCTGTATCAGATCCAAACACATCCAACGGCCCTTAAGCACGCAAAAAGTGAGCTCTATGGCGCATGTGTGGGCATGTATGTTATTATAGCGTACCTCTTGAGGGGTTTCAGGGTTTGCGTATGGTGTCATCAGCCACGTTTTAAGGCCATATGCCCGGTCACCCAAACAATATAACATTTTAGCATTAACGGAATAGAGACTTACTAAAAATACTAACTAAAAACAATTGAAATAAAAGACTAGAACAAAAGATGCTCACCAACAAGCCATCCACTTCTCACAGCCCCTGCCTCCAAACGCATTCCCACTGTACTGTTTTGCAAAATAAATGAGTCGTGGTTGCCTCCTGGCCAGCGGGCCACAGCTTTAAGGATATGGCAATCGGCATTACAGATCATCTGTGCGCTGATGGAGTGATAGTTTTTTCTGTTCATGTTATTGTTAATATTTTAATTGTCACAATGATGAGGGTGAACGTGTATCAATTTCATGGTTATTTAATACATTTGGCCAATATATTAGTAAATTAATGATTTTAAAAAACGTTAATTAAATCTCTTTCTAATGAATGTGGTTTTATAGGCTCTGCATGTACTTAAAAGGTATGTTTGCATTTTCTAAGTCAGTTTGGCCTTCATCATTTGTGCGTACGCATAGTCTGAGGCAGTTCTAAATTTGTTCGCAGAATAAGAACAAATTCGGGTAAGAAAATATTGATGAATCCCGGATTTGTGCGTCAAACAATCGTACGCACAGTTTAAGCACAGATTTGTGTGTACGCACTGTTTGTGAATGAGGCCCATTGATGTTGAGTTTTTCAGATGCATTTTTTGGGGCGCTTTGAGCACCACAGGCTGAGTGTCACCTAGTGCCATTATACTGGAGAGAATCTCTACAACCGATATCTCCAACACTTGGCAACTCACACCAAAACTATCTAGACCGATAAACAGCAGTACAGGTAAGGAGAGAAATATTTATTGATTCTGGGGTGAATTGTCCCTTTCATAACTTCTTAAACAATAAATAGATGAACAAAATTGTTGATTTTCTGTCAGTAGACTCAATCGATTAATCGACCCATAGTTGCAGCAGTATATGTGACTGACTCAGACCGTGGATACACCTTAATCTAAATGTGATTAAGTGTGATTAGTCAGTTATATTGCTGTGCGTACACACTGTAAGACAGATCATTGATTTAGCTCTGGGGCTATTTGACTGAGAACTGGAATGTGTTTGTAAATGGGATTTGAGGCCAGTACGAGTTCTTTCTGCTGACTTTCATTCAGACCACAGCGGCGTGTTGGTCTGACACGGCTGGCCCCAGCTCCTCATCTCTCCGGGGAGGCTAGCTTTACTAGGGCTTACTGTTTTACTGGCCTCTGCCTCTGTGGAGAAAGCTTTCAAAGAGCAGGGAAAAATATCTGTAAGCCTCCACCTCTATTCATCAGCCCCTCTCCCACAGAATCTGCTGACTCCAGCCAATCAGATACCTTTCCTCCTCTCCTGGTCGTTACTTTCGCTGTTTGATGAGGTTTAACTATTCTAATGAGATGCAGGCGAGGCAGGAGAGAGGATAGATGACGGAGCGGGTGGGAAACAAATGAAGTGTAATAGAAAAATAAATGAAAAGCAGCTTCATGGCTGTTAACGTGTTTGCCAGCTGCTGGGATCTTGGCAAGAAATGGAGCATGTGTAAGTATTTGTCGGCTGATGATCTGGACAATATACAGTAACACTAATGGAAAGCTGTTACCATTTGTTTACAGGCTCTGATAACATCAACACTACTGAGCAACTAGATGACAAATCCAAAACACGGACTGTTGATCCTACTTAGGATGTAATGACTGAAGAGTGTGGACAACAAAATGTGTAAACACTGTGTTTAACAACAGATTTAGGTAAAAATAATAAATACATTAAAATGTAATCTGCTCTGTCCAGACACGTCTGTGTCAGACATTTCCATCCAAGCACACCTCCTTCCTAAATGTTCAAATAGTGCTGGCAGCGTAGAGCCAAGCAGACGATGGCACCAGCCAAGAAAAAGACAATGACTATGTCTTTTTCTTGGCTAACTAAAAAATGACAAAATTTTTACTGAGCTGTTTATATGGATAAATAAAAAAAAGAATACACCCTCCCTCTTTCATTTCTTCTTGGAGAAGTTGGCGCTGTGATAGTTTGGGCTGGCAGTAGCTCAGTCCATAGGGGCTTGGCTTGGGAACTGGAGGGTTGCAGGCTCACGTCCCCATCTGGACCTAGCTAGAAAGGTGCCAGTTCCCCTCCGGGGCACAGAACCCCAAACTGTGCGGGGAGCCTGTCCATTGGCAGCCCCCTCACTCTGACACCTCTCCATTTAATGCATGTATAGGTCCTGTTAGTGCATGTGTGTGTATTTCAGAACTACATATGAAAACAGAGTAAAAACATTGAATTTCCCCTCAGGGATTAAAAAAGTACATCTTCTTCTTCCATTTGTGCATATCTAAAAAAACTGTCTTTCATTATGTTTACATGTAGGTGTGTTTTTCCTCACAACCAGAAATGTGGGCTTCTCTTTTGGGCATGCATCTCTACACCAAGGCAGCACAGTGGTGCAGTGGTTAGCGTTGTCACTTCACAGCAAAAGGGTTCCTGGTTCAAACCAGGGGTGGGAGGCTCGAACCCCAAGGTGGAGGAGCCCTTCTGTGTGGAGTTTGCATATTCTCCCGTTGTCAGCCTGCGTGGGTTTCCTCCAGGTGCTCCAGCTTCCTCCCACAGTCCAAAGACATGCAGGTTAATTGGTGGATCTAAATTGTCTGTAGGTGTGAATGTGAGTGTGAATGGCTGTCTGTCTCTATCATCTCATATCAACTTCAACTTTATTTTGTCCCTAGAGGACAATTAGTTGCACAGCAAGTAAAAACATACATTAAACAAAGACACGAGAGAACATATAAGAATATAAAGACTCAACAATCAGGCGGAGGAGAACAACAACCATCAATATCAACACCATGATCGCTCATCACATGATCATAACAAGAGTAACAACCAGCCAAAAGAGTAGCATCAGTACTAAGTTTGACTCCTCCACTGCCCTGCATTCAAAATATCGCTCGAGGGACCTGAATGGAATCAATCAAAATCGTGGCAGACTTTATCGTATCGTTGTCTGTAAATCAATAAGTCGTAGTGTGATGAAACTTGTGACTGACACCCTGAATCCCTATTTCACCGCTATACACATCAACTTAAAGGTTCAGTGTATAGGATTCAGGGGTAATAAGTATGTTTTCTTCAGTGTAAAATCACCTGCAAACAAGAATCATTGTGTTTTCGTTACCTTAGAATGAGCCCAGAACGGATAAACCAAACACTGGCTTGCATGGTTTTGCATTTTCACATCAGCTACCATCGTTAGAAGCCCCTCTGCGATGAGCACATTTTTTTTTAACATAAAACTGTTTTTTTCAGTGTTTTTACTGGTTTATATCACTGGGTCCATTTGTTTTGGAGAGGAAGAGACCTCTGCGGAGAATTTGGCACCCGCTTAAAACCTCCTAAACGTCTGGATCAGAACTAAGGTGAGCATACGTAGGAGGTGCTGGGTGAGTGGCCTGTCTGCAACATGTCAAACTGTAGATTTGTAATGTGTTTTTACTGGTATAAATCACCTCGTCCATTTGTTTTGGAGAGGAAGAGACCTCTGTGGATAATTCAGCTCCAAGTAAAAGCCCCCTGATCAAAGAACACTGACCTGGGAGAAGTTGGAATCTACAGTCCTCACTGAAAGACGCCACTAAATCTCCCTAAATCTCACACACTGTTCCTTTAATGTGGGTTAAGAGGACATGGTCAGTACCTTCTCGTCATACACGATGCCTGGTCGGATCTCAGGAGCCTGGTAACCCGGCGTGCCCTCGACCCCCAGTGCCCCCTCATGGAAGGTTTGTCGAGAAATGCCGTAGTCAGACAGTTTAATGTTGACTGGATCCCGCAACTGGAAGAAGACACATGGATGAGTGAATGAGTCAGATGACAGAAACAACAAGATTAATAATTCGATTCAAGTGTCTACTGACAGCACTTTGGATGCTTGTCTTGATAAAGTTCAGAGGACTGTGAGAACAGCAGGGACGACAAATGAAATAAGTTCAGGACTTTACTGTTTTACTGCTGATTTCATAAATACGTTGGAATATTGTCAATAAACCCAAACAAGAAAATATGTCTTTCTCATAGTAATCCATAAACTGACCTCCAGAGACCACACCAAGATGTTGTCAGATTTGAGGTCACAGAAGATGATGCTCTTCCTGTGAAGGTACGCCAGTCCTGCTGCAATCTGATAGGCTACTTTGAAGGTTAGCATGTGACCGAGGGGCATGTACTTGGAGCCTGCAACGAGAAAACACAACCTCATGTTTTACTGACACAGAAACAGGCTTCAGGTGGGAGATGACAGGATGCAGATGTCTCTACATGCCTTTGCCTTTCTGCTTCTCCTCCAGCACAGTGTTGAGGCTGCCAAGCGGCGCTAACTGCAGGGCAAAGCAGAGCGGGTGGATGCTGATGCCCACCAGAGACACAATGCAGGGATGCTGCAGAGAGTGCAACATACTGGCCTCCTGGCGAAATTCAGAGAAGCTCCGACAGGCGTCTGCAGACTGTAGGTGTTTCACCATGGTGTCTGAGGAGAGACAGAGCGGAACAAGAGGGAGCAGCAAAGCTTGTAAAAGTTATACTTTGAAATGTGAAACACAGAGAATAGATTTGTGCCAGAACGAATGCTACAGGAGCTCATAGTGCCTCATTTTTATATTTGTATCATACTGAAAATTCCAACTGCAAGTCTACAAGCTTTACTCCATCTGTGTCCTCCATTTGCTGCCGATAAGCATGGTGGTCCATGTGTGTCTTTGCAATTATAAGGTGAGAAATATGTGACAAAATAATCTCGCCCAAAAGGTCCGCTTGTTTGCATTTTTGAAACGTTTCACCACATCTGAAGGTCTTTACAGGATTCCATTCACATAAGAAGAGACACAAGGGTTACTGCATATAACATTCCTATTAACACTAAGGCCATATAGTGTTTGAGACAGTTCCATTAGCTGATGAAGACCATGTGATGCACTTCAGGCTGCTCTCATTCACTGCTCGTAGTTATACCTACAAAATGAATGCATCTTAATTTGTATGTAACCCACAAAATCATGAGCCAGCAGGCTGTGAGCAACTGACTAAGGGTGCTTTCACACCTGCTCTGTTTGGTTTGGTTCAATCAAACTGAAGTTCATTTGTCCCCTCAGTGAGGTTCGTATGGGCAGGTGTGAACACAGCAATCACACTCAGGTGTGCAACAAAACAACCGGACCGAGACCTTCTTGAAGAGGTGGTCTCAGTCCGGTTACAAAGGAACTCTGGTGCGGTTGGTTTGTGGTGAGAAGGTGTTGCGACCTGGATGTGAACCAACTGCAGTCACATGACACATTGTTTGGGTTAAACATGAGCATGTTACAGTCCTGGAGGATTATTAATGTGCACCTCCTCCTGTACTGCCTTAATATGCACATTCAGCACATCCAATGCATCAAAACATTGTTTTCTAGTTGGAGCCGCGCCTCGTTTTCAAACTGTATGGTTTGACTAAAATGAACAATGACAGCAATATAGTCCACGATGAGCAGCGCTAAAATCAACCTGCGTAGTTTTCCCTCCATTGTGACATTAGAAAGTGTCACATTTATCTTGCAAGTGGACTCTTCTTCAACGTTTGCTTTACTTCCTGGATTTTTCCAACATGGAAATTCTGACCAATCAAGACCTGCTTTCTCACACAAGGCATTTGATCTGGTCCTCTTGTAAATGCTGCAGTGAGAACACGAACCAACTCTAGGCAATTATGCAACTTTGGAACAACATGAGTCCCTGATTCAGACCAAAGCAGGTGAACTCTGCCTCTGTAGGCACCCTTATGTGGTGCAGGCTCTAATCTGTCATATGACAGGAGCAAAGGAGGACTTCAGGTCACGTAATATAAAGAGTGACAAAATCCGCAGAGAGATGTGGACTGGGTGGTGGACAGGACTCTGACCTGAGGGGACCGGAGTTTGTGTATCATGTGAAACCAAAAGTCAAAGTTATGTTTTGTAATATACTTAATGTGACGTTATGTTATGTACTTTGGCACTTTATATTAACTATGAAACACGATGACACCCAACCATGATTCTTTTCCTAAAGCTGGGCGTACACCGTACGATTATTATTTCTGACCCGATTTTTGAGCCGCACGACCCAGTTTAGAGTTGTGTTTGAGATATTGTATTTATGAGAATGAGATGGATACAAGGTCACAGTCACCTTGACCTTTAACCCTTGACCGTTGAACACCAAAATCTAATCAGTTCATCCTCAAATCCAAGTCAACCTTTGTGCCAAATTTGAAGACATTCCCTCAAGATGTTTTAAAGATATCAAGAATGAGAAAGACAACGTCAAAAAAAAAAACAAACAAAAAAAAAAAAAACTGAGCAGTTTATTGTTGTGCCAAATTTGAAGAAAGTCCCTTGAAGCATTCCTGAGATATCATGTTTAATAGGATGGGACTGACGTACTTACAGATGGACAGATGGACAGATGGACAGATGGATGCCCTGAAAACATAAAGCCTCTGGCCACAGCTATTGACAGAGCTGAGGCATAAAGACTTCTTACTGCCTCAGGGCTTTCAAAAGAGTCTTTATTGAAAATTGTCAATAGCCAGAATGGTCCGCAGGGGCTGATGGACTCTTTTATTGTCTATTTTACACGAACAGTGAGAGCACTCAGTTGTACGGACAAACAACATTTTTTAAATGAGCTCAAATCATTCAGTGTACACCCTGCTTAACCCTGACCTAACCGGTACGAGCACTAATTTGTAAAGATATAGCATTTCACTGCATAAAACAATGAAACGTTGTGTAAAGTGTGTAAATGTTAAAATAATTTGGTCAGACAGTGAGGGTGGAAAATTCACGGATTCGGAACGTTTATTATCAGCAGGCAGCGTACAAAACATTCAGCTGCTCACTTTTAGAAAGTGTTCCCTGGTTAAAATGACAAACTTCACCATCAGCTTTTATCATATCAGCTGTCACTGGGATAATGTTAACTCAGTGAGTAACTTGAAAACAGGCCAAAATTAAACTTCCAACAGAGTGATGCGTCGTCTCACAGGTGGATTGTGTCACTTTATTTTTAGGAGCCACTTTCTCAGTCTTTCCTTTGTGTCATATCAACAATCAGAGCCTGAAAACTTGATGAGGACATCCTGAGTAAATATTATTAGTACAGGCTGTATTAAAAGATGTCGTGGTTTTTTAATACTGGCTTTTGTGTGAATGCTTCCTAGTGAGCTTTATCAAGTCAGAAATCCTTGATTGCATTTAGCAGAGACACCAGATGTCCATTAGCAGCTTTTCAAAACATCAGCTTTAAAAGCCCCGTTAAACAATTTCATTAATAAGTAGAAGATTAGGCCTCCGTACCTGTGTCACTGCTGATGGTCTGCTGTCGACACTTCTTAAAGTGAAAGCGCTTGATGGCCACTGGCTGCTCACGGTATCGAGCTCGGTAGATGATGGTCCCGCTGCCCCCCTGGCCGAGGATGTTATTCTCCTCCTCAGAGTACTCCAGCTGGGCCCTCTCCAAAAACAGCCTAACACACAGACAAGAAAAGACACAAAGCGATGATTAGTCAGGTTGGAAACAAACCTCCAGGTTTGCCAAACTCAATTAGAAGAGAAAACAAAGTGAACAGTAAAATAATTACCCTGAGGTGTCAGTGTGAGCGCCCATCTCACTTTATAGGCCTATTTTCTGCTTCAGCTCTGATAACTAACTGTACTTAGTCTGCAGTGTTTTGCAGTTTTCTTGTGCAGTGAGGGAATACTAGAAACATTCCAGATGGGCTCACTTTCAGTTTGATCCCAGGTTAAAACTTTTATGTTCTCCACAGCCTTTGACTGAACCTCATGTCCTGCACTTGACCTTGATCTGTGTTACTGTGTTTTCTATCCAGTGATCTATTTTCATTCGCTTATCTGGGGCCAAGTCGTGGGGACAGCAGGCCAAGCAAAGCACCCCAGATATCCCTCTCCCCAGCAACACTTTCCAGCTCCTCCTAGGGAACCCCCCAGGAGATATGTAATATCTCCAGCGTGTTCTGGGTCTACCCCAGGGCCTCCTATCAGTCAGACACTTCCAGAGCACCTCTAACGGGAGTGCCCCTCCCGACCCCTTTCTACACGAAGTAGCAGCAGCTCTACTCCGAGCTCCCTCCAGATGTTCAAGTTCCTTGCCCTGTCTGTCAGGCTGAGCCAGACACCCCACAAATGAAACTAATTTCAGCCGCTTGTATCTGCAATCTTATTCTTTCGGTCACTACCCAGAGCTCATGACAGTAGATGAACCACATGGATTGAAAGCTTCACCTTCTGGCTCAGCTGCATCACTGCAGATGCCTCGCCAAATGGCCTATCCATCTCACGCTCCATTCTACTCTCACTTGTGGACATGACCCCGAGACATCTGAACTCCCACGCTTGGGGCAGTCACTCTCTCCCATCCCAGAAGGGGCAATCCACTGTTTTCCGGCAGAGAACCATGACCTCAGATTTGGAGGCGCTGATCGTCATCCCAACCACTTCACACTCAGTTGCAAACCCTCCCTGTGCATGCTGAAGATTACGATGTAATGAAGCCAACAGAATCACATCATCTGCAAAAAGCAGAGATGCAATTCTGAGGTCTCCAAAGATCCTGTCCATGAATATCACAAACAGGATCAGCAACAAAGGACAACCCTGGTGGAGGCCAACAACCACTGAGAACATGTTTGACTTTATGCCGAGTATACAGACGCAGCTCCTTCTTTGGTCATACAGGGACCAGATTGCTCACAGCAGCGACCCTGGTACCCTGTAAACCTGCAGTACCTCCCCGCAAGACTCCCTAAGGGACGCGGTCATAAGCCTTCTCCAAGTCCACCAGACTAGACTAGATGGGCAAACTCCCATGACCCTTCCAGCAGCCTGGCAAAGGTAAAGAGTTGGTCCACTGTTCCAAGACCAGGACAGAAGCTGTATTGCTCCTCCTGAATCCGAGGTTCAACAATTGGTCAGAGCCTACTTTCCAGCACCCTGGAATCAACTTTCTCAGGAAGGCTGAGCAGTGTGATACCCCGATAATTGGAGCACGCCCTCTGGTCCCTTTTTTCTGTGATTTTATCTTTTATTTTCTTTAATAGAAGGTTTCTATTGTTTGATTGTCTTTTCGTGATCACACACATGCACTTTCATAAAAATCCAGATAGAACATCAAACAATATGCATAAATCTCCCTTCAAGAAAGACATCTGGGAAAACAATGACTATGTGAAATCCTCTGGTAAAGGTTGGACTAAAATGAATTAATAATGGCGACAAAACAACTGTATTGACAGTATTAACATCAGTATTAGTTTAAAACTAAGCTGGACAAATCCTCACGCTCATTCTGTTGAGGACATTTGTCAACACATGCACCACAAAGACTCAGAATACCACAGCTCCTAACTTCAACCAGCATGTTGTCTTTTGGTCACATCTGAGAAACAAAACCTCTCTTCCACCATCTTCCCTGCAGGCTGTCAACAGAGCTGCAGCCCATAGACCAGACTGGCACAACAGTGTACTGTGCAAAACATCAAGCCTGCACTTTCCTGGGCGAAGGAAAACTGAAAATTGTAAAGATGTCGATGCAATTTGACAGCGTTTGTCACTGAACCTGAGTGTTCCTGAAACCTTAATAAAAGAGGGCTAGTAGCCGTCCTGTCCTGTCAGTGTTCCCCCATCTAATTGGATCAACGACCCCACACAGTGGCTGGATATTGCCCATCAGGAGATCGATATGTGTGTGATTGGATCACCAGGTATCATAAGGCTAATCCCTAGTTCATTTTACAGGATTTTAGCCCTTATTTTCCGCACACCAACACTTTTTGGAGCCTGAGATCAGAGGCAAGTCGGCACTCAAGCGCTTTACACTTATACACTGCATGCTCTCATCTATGCAACATTAATCGTCTGCGCCCGTCATTTACACCTCACAGCGCCCCTATCCTCAATCACCCTGGTTACATCCCGTATTGATTATTGCAATTCTGTCGTCTTTGGTCTCCCTCTCTTGTGTCTTCATAAACTCCAGTTGTTCCAGAATTCAGCCGCCCATGTCATTACCAGAATCCCCTCCATAGATCATATATCACTCCTTCTCCTACAGCTTCACTGGCTTCCTGTTAAATATCGCATCGATTTCAAGATTCTGCTTCTCACCTTTACGGCCCTTAACCACCTCTGGAACTGTCTCCCCCACGACATTTGCAGTATTGACTCCCTTTCCACTTTCAAATCCAGTCTGAAAACACACCTTTTCAAGCTGGCATATTCGGTCTGATTTAATGGAGACACACATAATCAAGACATACACTAAAGATGACGTTATGATGATGATTCTATACGTAATTTTCATAATAATGATTTTTAAAAAGAACCTGAGTCCTGTAACGTGTCCTTGAGTGCTTTGACAGGCACCTTTTAATAAAATGCATTATCATTATTACATGTGAACTGTTCACCGATGCATCGCAGACACTCCCCAGATATCCAGCATGCTGAACATCTGGACCAGATGGGGACTTTGTTGGCGTGCTACAGCCAATAAGAGCACAAGACACAGGTTAAGGACAGAAACCGTGCTACAGTGCTTTCCAAGGTGTGTGTGTGTGTGAGAGAAGGAGACAGACAGTAATAAAGAGAGGGAAAGAGTAGGTGAAAGGTGGACTATTATATGCAATGCTTTTTTAAGTTATTAGCCTGATAACTTACTCTACTTTGTCCCTTTTGATTTTAATATTTTCTGGTAAGCACCTGCCAAACCTCGGGTTATAGTTCAATCACATCACCATCACATGACGTACTGATCAGGGATTCCTCCTGTTGAAAAATCTTGTAGTGTGTGATGCCATGTCACCACATCAACTTCAAGAGCCTCACTTACAAGACAGCATGTTGAGTAGTGTGAACAATACAGCGATCTGATCACTTTATAAAGTTATATAGTGTGAATTTAGCTCAAGTGTTGTCGGTAAATGACCAACCTGCTGATACCTAACCTATCTAGGCTGAGACATAGTTGGAGACAGTCTGATGCGGCTACACTGTGTGGCTGTGAAGTTCCTGCAACAGCCTCCCACTCAACGTGCTCTCTATCAGTTGTTACTGACAGTGAATATTCACTAATTTATGTGCCTCAAAGTTCAGAGTGAAGGTCTCAGTTTTTAACACAGATGTTCTCTTTCTTTCACGTTCCCGTTATGTGACAGCGCCGTTCTTTCCCCAAAAGGGGGCGCGGCATTAGTGATTGGCTCTCGATGAAGCAATGCCATCTAGTCCATCCCATCATCCTATGCTCACTGTCCTTTGATGTGCTGCTTCGACCACACTGACAACATAAACCAATCAAGATGGTGACTTGAATGAGCTCCAGCCCTCCAGTCTGAATGGTGACAGTTTAATGTTAACTCAGGAAATGGTTTCCTGAAAGGCCAAACAACCGAGGGAACATTACAGCAGCACTCTGAGCTGACATTTGCTTCTAATTACTGAATCTTTTCAGTTGTCTGAAACATCCAATGATCCAGAGCAGGGAGCTCCCGAGCTCATCTTCAGCACCGTAATGAGATGATCTGTATCTTTGTCTCCATCAGCAGACGGAGTTTGCTCAGTTATCACAGAGATTAATGCGTTGTTGATTCATTTGTCAATTGTCTAATAAACAGATTATGAGTTGTAATAATAACTATTTCATTCGACATTCAACAAGGTTCCTGTCAACAGTTTGACCATTGTTTTAAATCTGTGTTTTAAATCAGTAAGTAATGTCTTTTTAACAGCCCTTCCAGGATGTTGCAATCGCAACAAATGACGTAAATTCAACCAATCCCTATGAATTCTGCACAACCTTGCAATTTTGTCCAATCACCGCAACGTTTACACAAATTTGACTAATTCTAATAGTTCCCTGCGAGTGTCACCAATCATAGCAGTCCCCGGTCACGAAGTCACCAAACTCACGTCCTTGTTTCTGGTTGTGAAGATGCAGAAATGTGCGACACAAATGTCTCACAAACAACAAAAATTACTGCTAAAGAGTGTACAAGGTGACTCCCTGATGTTCTGCACAAAAGTGAGGGTAAACTGTTTTGCTTTGTGTGCATTGTTGTGGTGGAACACAAATGACACTGATTGATAAACAGTTTATACCGCAAAACAAAAACCAGAGGATGACTAAAACACGTAGACAACAGACAAGATAAATCACCAAGACAGAGGCTGCTGCATTAAGATCAACTGCACATGCTGAAAGAAACAAGTTGAGTTAGATTAAATATGCAGGATAGTGGTAATATGAGTATGGTATAAATCACAAACTCAAAACAGTGCTGTTTTATTCCCACTAAAACAACTTTTTTTGTTTTCAATTTCCACTCACTCCCAACATGCACTGCATTCTTTTGGAGAAGTTGCAGTGAAATGAAGCATTGTCAGTCACAACAATCCAAATTAAAGCCCATGAAATTCCGACAGGACTGATTTAACTGCATGTAATCCTAGTAAT